TCCCGGGTCTATGACCTGGAATGTAAAATGGAATGTGTGTCAGAAAAAGCGAGCTTCGCACTGTGGTCAAGCTACCGAGCTGTGATGATGACCGGTAATCGTAAGAATTTTGACACAGAGCATCAGTAGGAAACATGCACTAATAAAACCCACAATTTTCTCATGTGCCCCATTTCATTGCCCTGAAGATTTTGATCCAAAAACCTAATAAGAAGATCCAACCGGGTAGGAGCTGGCCAAGACAGCACTTGCTGGACCTAGGAAAAATGCCCTTGGGTCTGTGCTGGAGTACTCTTAGTTCGGAGTCTGAACAACCCCTCTTTGTGTTCCACATTTCAGTCACCAACAGAAAAGGAAATTCAAGGGGAAACAGAGATGGGATGAGTCAGGAGGCAGCAGCGCGTCGCGGCAGCGAGGAACGGTGGGGAAAGGTCCAAGGGCAAGCTTCGAAATGGGAGGAAGGCGACATACCCAGCGTGACACAAACCTTACTGAGCTTCGGCCGGTCGTAGGGCAGGTGCCTGTCCATCGTGCACACCACAATCCTGTCCGAGAAACCCTCCTGGCGCAGGGTCTCTGCGCAGACCAGTCCAGCCGCCCCTGTGGGAGAAGGGAGACGGGCGGCAGCCGTGCGCAGTGGTGAGGCCTCTGAAGGTCCAAACCCTCTGCTCCTAAACCCCACTGGGGCCGACTCTAAAATCACCGTCACTACGAGCCCTGGCCATGCTTCACGGCCCTGCCCGAGGTGAATGGCTCGCAGGGGAAGCCAGCTGGGGGGGCTGCCCCAGGCAGGAGGGACCCTCCATTTGAGGAGCGTGACTTTCATCCCCTGTGGGGCTCGCCTGTCCCAAGACCCCCCCAAACCCACGAGCTCCCCGGTGCGGGGGGCTCCCGTGAAATTCACAGCCAGACACAGGACGCAGCCCTCCCTGCCATGCGGCCAAGGCGTTGGTTGCATGCTTCACCGTGGAGGATTCGGAACACAATTTCTTTGAGTTGGTTGGTTGGTTGGTTGTAAATGCAGGAAAAAAAAGGCTAAATCAAACAAAAAGCTGCCTCGGGGTGTACTGTGCCCCTGCAGCCTGCGGGCACACCCCTTCTCCCCTGGCCAAACCGCTGAGACTTGAGAGCTTGAGACTCAAACAAGAAGTCCCGAGTCCCTTCTCACACAAAGAGGCCTCGCTCAGTGATGAGCATCGTAAGGGCCACATTTTCTGCAAGACCAGTGAAAGAAGATGGACCTGGATGGTATCATGGTTCGGTCAACAAACTGCTCCTGTCAGTGGAGGCAGGGGACTGGTGGAGGGAGAGTGGGCAGACATCCCAGCACACTGCCCGGAGCGTGCTGAGCCAGGGCTGCACCGAGGCCAGGATGGCCCTTGCATGGGGCAAGGGGCCACGGTCGCTTGCCCACAGCTCTGCTGGCCATGGCTGGGTCTTGGTCCTTGGCGCAGGGCTGGACGGGCAGCCTCTTCCCAACACTTCTTCCTCACAACCCCAGCTTAGAAATCTCCCTTCCCATCCACCAGAGCAGCCCTTGGTCTTTACGAGACTTGCAAGTTTAGCTGGTCAAGCCTGAGGAACTTCCCTCAGCGAAGGCTGCCATTGCCCGTGGAGTGACCTTGCTGAGGATTTTGACGACCGTCCAGCCCTGCTGCACACCAGGACAGCCCAGCTCACCTCGGGGAGCAGCAGCGTCGCACCCTGGCTTTCGGTCAACAACAGCAGGGGCACGAGGAAGGGAAAAATGTTACCCAGCAGGGAGGGAAGAGCCAGCCGGGCTGGATTCCCCCTGCTCAGGCTGCGAGCTGCAGCTCGGATGGCAGGAGCAGGAGACGGCAGCGTGCTCCCCATTTCCACAGCTTAGATGTGGTGACCTGGGGGCTGTAACCGGGTAAGAACAACCCTCATGCCAGGAACAACTGTTCCCTCCCAGCCCCAGGTCCAACCTGGACAGCTTATGTCCTCCCCCCACCGTCCATTTCACCACGGCATGGTCCAGCCTAGCGTCCCACCCATCCCACAAACTGGCAAACTCAGTAGACGGGGTTCACCCCATCAGGCTTGCTACAAAAACTGTGTTACACAAATGGAGCTGGGACCAGAGATAAGAAAAGACAGCTTGGTGAGTTCTGCTATTTCATGCAGGGACTTGGTATTTTCTGGGAGGATGGAAGAATTTATCTTCAGAGAAGCACCTCAAGGTGAGAGCTGCAATGGGATGAGACAGAGATGTGCAGGCTCCAAGAGGAAAAGGTGGATCCACACCACAGGAACACCCAAGCAGACTTTACCCCTATCAGTTGTGGAAATCAGGGGTTACCGATGTATCTGGGGAGGGTGCAGAGGGAAGGGGGTTCAGGGCACCCACTGCAAAGGACCTACAAAGCTCCACAGACCAGAGGTATGGGGCACCTCTGGACCACTGGTGTGTAGGACAAAAGGGCTCAGGAAGCCCCTCTGGCCGGACCTGCTGCCCAGGGCGGGATGCAGCAGGGGTGGCAAAAGGCACAGGGTGCACGGACACCCCGCTCTCCCACACCCGCCCAGGAGGGGACACAGGCGGCTGTCCCAGTATGGGCCAGCCCATACCTGCACCGATGATGAGCACGTTGGTGCTGCTCAGGTTGTAGTTGCTCAAGGAGATGCACTTTGCCATCATCTTTGTCCTCCTCTGGGTCTGAAGAGCCTATGCCACCAGCAAGAAGAAAAGTCGTCATCATTTTCTCAGCTTTAAGCTGGGTAGGCAGGCAGGGATGGGGGCGACCACACTGCAGTCACAAAGCAGCTTGGATGGAAAGGGAACTGCACCCTTGTACCCGACGAGGGCTCCAAACCCACGCTGACCCAAATACCTTTCCATCAGTGCGCTACCCCCTTACAAGGTACAAAAGAAAAACAAATCCATCGTCTTCTGCAAATTCATCCGGGTACAGAGAGCTGGGGAAAAAAATAAAAATCCAAAAAGCAGCCCAGGTGTGTGATCGTGCAATTCTGCAACCAAGCGGTGAGACGGAAGGGCGGAAGTCCTACCAGGAACTTCATCCCGCACCTGAGCAGAGCTTGAGTCCCTCTGGCATCCAAAGGAGCTGACAGCCTTGTCCAACCCACCAGAGCCCACCTGAGGACCAGTGCCGCTGTGGGCCTGTTGCCAGCCATTGGGGGCCAGAGTCCGTTTCTGATAGAGGGAACAGGCTCAACCCTCATCACATCCCACCCCAATCAGCTGGAGTAGACGTGCTGCCCCCTGGGTGGCCTCTCCAGATCCAACCCAAGTGCGTAAGGGTCCGGCTGGCTCTGAGCCGCTGGGGTCACACATGTGTACGTGCAAATGTGCACCAGAAGGCGGCTGTTGATGGAAAGACGGCAGCGGCCTGGATGGGCTTCACTCCGCATCCTATCTGGGGGGATGAGAGCCCTCCCTGCCCACACCCCGGGATCCTCTCCAGTGCAAGGAGCTGATATTGGGGCTCAGGAGGGGGCACAGAAGACCCCTGCCACCGCTGTGCCACATTCAGACCCAGTAGACAAGGCCAAAAGGCTGGGGGAAGAGGCCTGTTTCCATGGGCCAGCTAAATTAAAAGTTGCTTATGAGCCTAAGGAAACACAGGAGAAACTCAGGACGAACACCTAGCAAGACCTCCTGAACCCAGGGACACCCCAGCTCCAGTGTCCGACCGCTACGAGCTGCTGGGGGAGGACAGGAGGAGGATGCAACGCCTCTGCCCTGCTCCACTCGTGCCTCCGTACGGACTTGGGGCTGTTGGCTGAGACAGGAGCAGGCTGGGTGGACCCAAGGAAAAGCATTGGTACCCCCCCGCCCCGCACACAGGGCAAAAAGCAGAAGCCTGGGCCTTGGTTTTGGGCTGCCAGTGGCCCCTCACCTGCTTGCTTGCTCGGATGTACACCTTCTCCTTCTCGATCTTCACCTGAGGGTGACAGAAGAGCAGCGGTTTGCAGGGCAGCGAGTGCCCCTGGCGTGAAGAGGGTGATTAGTCCTCCTGTGCTAACGAGCAGAGCAGAGGCCTCAGCAGGTCCCCTGCGAGAGCGGCTGAGGTCACGGCAGGGCTCAGCCCAGCTGGAGGCTGGGGGATGTCTCCTGCCTCGCACCAACTACGGTCAGTGTAAAACCTGGTTGCTCTCTGTCCCACCCCACGCTGCTCAAGAGACCTTCCAGGTGTGCACCTCCACCCTCAGGCCCCCAGGAGGTGTCCAATGCCCCAACGGGAGCTGCTGGGAGAGAGAGCTGGGGAGGTGCTGCTTGCCACTGGCCACCCCACCAGGTCCTTAGGAAATGTTAGAGGAGAGCATGTGTATCCTGATGCAAACAGCCCTTTTGCAGATGACACCAGGCTGAGCGGTGCGGTTGATAGTCTAGAGGGAGGGGACGCCATCCAGAGGGACCTGGACAAGCTGGAGAGGTGGGCCCGCGTAACCTTATGAGGTTCAACAAGGCCAGGGGCAGGGTCCTGACCCTGGGTGGGGGCAACCCCTGGGATCCGTACAGGCTGCGGAAGGAAGGGATTGAGAGCAGCCCTGCCGAGAGGGACTTGGGGGTACTGGTGGATGAAAAGCCAGCAATGTGCACTGGCAGCCCAGAAGCCAACCCTACCCTGGGCTGCATCCCCAGCAGCGTGGCCAGCGTCAAGGGAGGGCATTCTGCCCCTCTGCTCCCCTCTGGTCAGACCCCCCCGGAGCCCTGCATCCAGCTTGGGGGTCCCCAGCACAGGACAGACAGGGACCTGCTGGAGTGGGGCCAGAGAAGGCCACAAAAATGGTCTGAGGGCTGGAGCCCCTCTCCTAGGAAGAAAGGCTGAGAGTGTTGGGGCTGTTCAGCCGGGAGGAGGCTCCGGGCAGACCTGATTGCGGCCGTTCAGAGCCTAAAGGGGGCTGGTAAGAAAGGGGGGGAACAACTTTGTAGCAGGGCCTGTAGTGACAGGACAAGGAGTGACAGCTTTAAACCAAGAGAGGGCAGATTCAGATTGGACATGAGGAGGGAATGTTTTACAACAAGGATGGTGAGACCCTGGAACGGGTTTCCCAGAGAAGCTGGGGATGCCCCATCCCTGGGAGCGTTCAAGGCCAGGCTGGATGGGGCTTTGAGCAACCCGATCGGGTGGACGGTGTCCCTGCCCACGGCAGGGGAGTTGGACTGGATGAGCTTCAAAGGTGCCTCCCAACCCAAACCATGCTGTGATTCTGTGATTCCCTCTGCTGCTGCAAGAACAAAGGTCTCACCTGGAACCGGGGCAAGCTGTCCAAGCCCGGGAAGTCTTCTATGTCGCCGGTGCTGATGTTGAAGCAAGCTCCATGCCAGGGACAGCGGACTCTCCCCTTGGACAAAACCCCTGCAGGAACACGGCAGAGAAGAGCTGGTGCTGCCCCGCGCCGCCTCCCGCCCCATCGAGCTGCCACGATCAGGACAGGGCAAGGCTGGCAGAGGCCAGGGCTCCCCCCTGCAGCCCCAGTGACAGGGGACTCCTTGGCTTCTTCCCCCCGTGACCGCCGCTGGGGAGTGAGGCTGACCGCCCAGAGGTCGAGGGGGCTGCCGGGGCCTCCTGCAGCGGCGGGAGCTGTACTCCACGCCTGGGCAAGTGCAGCCCCATGGTGCTCCTCCCTTCCCAGGGGCGTCCCCTCTCCTGCAGGACACGTGGCGCAGTCAGCAGCAGCTCGGCTGCTCAATGTGGAGTTCTCTTAGCTTGCACGTGGGACTGGTCCGGCCGTTTGGGACAGAGGGTGAACGCAGTTACCAACTGGGATCCTGCACGAGGGATCCCAGCTGAAATCCCCTGCGCCCTTCCTGCATGGCTCCAAAGCTGGCTGCTCTGCCGGGGACACAACCTCCCTCCCGGCAGGGCCCGGGGCTGCTGTCCCCTCCACGAGCCCCCGCCACCCCTGCGGCAAGCGATGCCTCGAGCAGAGCATCTCTTCTTTGGAGCAAGCGTGTTGCAGAAGAGATCCTGCCCCAACAAGGAGCCTGCACGTCACCAGGAAAGCATGGGGCATGCCCAAAGCCACGAGTCCACGCCTCGCAAGTGTTTGCTCAGAGGCTGCCACCTTGGACTTTGGCTTTCCCTGCTGAAGGAGCTGGTTCTCAACGCCGGGGAGCAGAGCGAACAGCTACAACTCAGCCATGCTGGACCGGTCCTGACCTTGTGCCTTCACTTGCCAAGGCACAGCAGAGCCACGTCTCGTCACCCACCACGCCTGGGGATGCAGGGGCAGCCCCTGCATTTCCTCCTGCAGCAAGTCCTGTATTCCTCAACAAGGCCCCTCTGCCAGTGGCCAGTCTCAGGGGGGTCTCCAAAAGGCAGGCGGGCTCTTACCTCCATTGGCCACCAGAGCCGTGTGGGGCTCTTCTGCCCAGCTCAGCGGCTGCTAGCCCAGGCAAGGGGTGGAGATCATGGCAGCCTGCAGCCAGCCCTGCCACGGGGCCAGCAGCGCCCAGGGGCATGCAGCAGGATGCTCGCCTGTCCTCCCCGGGCTCCCACCTCCAGCGAAGTCCCCCCGCCCCCAGTTTGAGTGCCTGCACTTCTCCAGCACCTGGATGCTGCCCTTACTCAGACTCCGGGTAGGAAGCCTGAAGCCCAGGCTGGGAAAATGCCAGGACGCGTATTTTTAAGTGCCAAGATGGGAAACCACTGCGCCCCATCCCACTTCAATCAGTACCACCAGCAGCATTTCTTTTTGCTCCTGAAAGGATCCCATCAGCCCAAAGAGCTTCCTCCTTCCCCACAAACAGGACTTTGATTTACAGGGAGATGTGGGTTTGTGGGGGTTTTTTTAAGGTTGAGTGGCCTGAAAAATCATAAGGTGATATTTTTTCCCTTTTAAGACTTTTTTTAACTCTGCAGTGGCTGGGAACCAATAAACAGAACAATATGAAAAGCCCCATAAGACCGGGCTTTGCGAGGGGACAGTGAGCTGCAAGGTGTTCCGCACCACCCAAGAGAGCTTCAGCTCCAGCTGAAGAATGAAGCATGAAGCCGAATTTAACGGCACCCATGCCGTTTCATTCTCCAGAGCCACCCAAAGAAGCCCCAGCCCTGTGACCAGCAGTGGCAAGCTGGGGACACCAGCAAACCAGACCTGCGGCCCAGTCCTCCCAGGCGGTCTGTGCACCCCCAGCCTCCTGCCCCCCTTCCCCCAGCAAGAGGAGGCCAAGATGGCGCCGGGCGTGCAGCGTGGCGCCGCAGCACAGCCGGGCGGGTGCTGGCTGCCTCCTGCTGGCGCTGCGATGGCCCTGGCCGGCCCCCCAGGACGAGCCGCAGACTGACCTTTGACCAGCGGGGCCCCGTAGTGGGGACACTTGTGTCCCACGGCGTGGAACTCGCCGCCCTCCTTGATGAGCAGAGCCTTCCCGCAGCCCAGGTCCACTTCCCGCATCCTGGGGAGGAGGAGCACGGAAAACACATGGCAGAGCATTCGCCCGGCAGCGGATGCCACCCCCTCGCCCCGCAGCCCAGCCCTGGTCCCGCCAGGCTCCCCCCCACTTCAGCTTGCTCACCGGCGGCTCCGGGTGACTTCTGCAGCTGTGGGTCACGCCTGTCACCCGGCCGCCTTCGGAGGTGGCTCTACCGCTACCAGCCTGGGGCATGGCCGAGCTGGGCCACTGAGTGGCACCTTCTCCATCCACCCCCGTGCCAGGAGGGAGCCCAAAGCTCCTCCCTAGCTGCTGGGGAAGCAGCTGGTGGTCTCCACCTAAGCCCAGGGAGTCAGAATAAAGCTTTTCAGCACGTACTGGGAGCAAGAATCCAAATTGGTTTTACTGCGACATCACCCCCTCTCACAGCCCCAGCAGCTCAGCAGGTCCCTGGCGGGGGCCAGGCTTGTGTTCACTCTCTCAAAGCAATCACAACATTTCTGAGACCTGAGAGCCAGGAGAGACGGTTCTGGCCAGGGGCCTGCCCCCCTGTGCCTCAGGGGGTCGTGTGCTGCTCCTGGCCCCATCCCAGGGTCAACAACATGGGTCACCTTTTCCCGCTGAAACCCTCGGGACAGCAGACACCCACGTGTGAGCCCCTTGCTGTTTCCCTCAGCTGTTTTTGAAGAGCAAAGCCCACGCCATGCCCCGCTGGCCCCGCTCTGCACCCCGGAGGGGCTTTGCCTCCCCGGGGCTGCTGGCACTCAGCCCCGCTGGCACAGCGGCCA